GCTGCAGCAGGAACTTGCGCGCAAGCCAGCCGGGCGGCGGCTGCATCGCGATCTCTCCCTCGCCGCACGCGCAAGAGCGGCGCAGCGTGCCGAGCACGCCACTGCACCACGCCCCGCCCCGCACCACGCAGCGGCGTCCTCCTCTCCCGTCCTCGGAGAGGTAGACAGTGCGGCCGGCCGCGTCGCGCCTCCACGCCTCATCTCCGTCGCCGGTCAGGTGGGTGTAGGTGAGCGAGAATGCCTCGCCCTTGGCGCGCGCCTGAGACAGAAACACGGCTGCGAAAAGGAAATCGGAGAGCGGGCGTTCGCCCTTGGCGCGCGCCTCGGCGAGGACTCGGCGCAGCTCGAGGGCGGGGAGGGTGTACCTCGGGGTGTGGGGGGGTGTGGGGAGCTGTGGGAGGGTGTCGGAAGCTGTGGGGAGGTGTATCCGGAGGGATGCCGGGAGATGTGGGGAGATGCGGGGAGATGCGGGGAGGTACCCCCGCCGCATCTAGGCTCCCCCGCCATATCTCCCCATATCTCCCCCATCTCTCCCCCGCCGCATCTAGGCTCCCCCGCCATATCTCCCCCACATCTCCCCCGCCGCATCTAGGCTCCCCCGCCATATCTCCCCCATATCTCCCCCACATCTCCCCCGCCGCATCTAGGCTCCCCCGCCATATCTCCCCCATATCTCCCCCACATCTCCCCCGCCGCATCTAGGCTCCCCCGCCATATCTCCCCCATATCTCCCCCACATCTCCCCCGCCGCATCTAGGCTCCCCCGCCATATCTCCCCCATATCTCCCCCACCTCTCCCCCGCCGCATCTAGGCTCCCCCGCCACGCCGCGCGCGGAAGCGCCCGCGACGTACACGGCGGCGGTGTGGCCGGTGTGGATGTGGTTCCCTTCGACGAGCGGGCTGCCGTCGTCGCCGATCGAGACGCCGATGCCGGTGTTCGCGTAGATCTCGTTGTCCTTGAGGGTGAAGCGAACCTCCTCCGACTCGAGGTGCGTGCCTCCGCAACAGGCAACAACACCTCGTGAGCTGGTCACTGGTCACTGATTAGTGAGCTCTCCTCCCGAGGCGCGCGCCTCCGCCGCCGTGGCAGTAGACGCCGCCGTACGCCGACGAGTGGATCTTGTTGCGCTCGATGAGCGGGAAGGCGTTGCGCTTGACCTCGATGTTCCACGAGCGGTGCGAGTGGATCTCGTTGTCGACGTAGTGCCCCTTGCCAAACTCGTACACCAGCAGGCCGACGGTGCGGCCGCCCCAGATCGAGTTCCCCTTGAGGACAGGGTTGCCGTGGTCCCAGACTCGCACCGCCGCCTTCCCGTTCTCGCGCATCTCGTTGCCCTCGTACGTCCCTCCGCCGCCCTTGTGCACCCACACGCCGCCGAGCTTGTGGCGGTGCAGCGTGTTGCCGCGCACGACCGGCGCAGCGTCGTCGACCGCCTCGACGCCGACGGTGTTCCGGAAGATGTCGTTCTCGAGGAGGGTCGGCGCCCCGCCGTCCTGCACGAAGACGCCGGTGCGGCGGTTGTTGTGCACGCGGTTGGCCTGCAGCAGCGGCGCCGCGTCCTGCCCCACAACCACCCCGTGGTGGAAGGAGTCGCGGATGTCGTTGTCCGTGAGCGTGCCTGCGA